CCCCAAAACCCCAAAACCCCAAAACCCCAAAACCCCTAAAATTATTAAATTTTGAAAAGATTTATAATTAATAATTTGGACTGAAATGGCCGAAAGAATATACATGGACAACCAAGCCAGTAAGCACATCGACGCTTACCTCGAGTATGTCAACATTGTCGGAGAGGCAGACGGAGGAAAGATGATGAGTGAGAAAGAATATGAAGAGTTCAAAGAAAAGATTAGAGAATCAAGGAAATAACAAACTCTATGTATCATTCAGAAACATTAATGGAAAAGATTGCAAGATGATAGGCCAGAGTTCCACCTGATTTTGTGGTCATAGGTATAAATCGCATCACTTTGATAACGTAAAGACCAGAAAAGTAAATTGCAGAAGCTGTGTTTGAAAGCTATTTTCGTATGTTCCAGTTTACGGATCTGCTGATTTGAAGTGACTTTGAAAACATTCATACAAAGATCATGACCCTAAAACAAGAAAGTGCACTAGAAGAAACTGTAAATGAATGCCAACATTCTCATCCAAACACCCATGCAGTTGAGGGTTAACCTTTAATGACCATGAGACTGTCTTTGAGAGTAGGGAGGAAAGAAAAACAGAAGGAAGAGAAGTCGATCCCAAATGGATGCAGGATAACAACATGATAGGAGGAACAGGAGGTCTTAATTCCTTCACTGGGCTTCTAGAAGCTGGAGAAGTTGATCAGTTCAGAGACCCAGCTTCAATAATGAGCAATGTCCAGGATTCTATTGGAGGATATGCTGCATTACAAGCTATTGAAGGAGAAGAAGCTAAAGGATCAGATGGATATGGAACAGGAGCTATTGCAAAAACAACTAGTTCCAAAAAAGGAAAGAGTGCTTATGAGTTGTTTTGTACTCCACATAACTATGGAACTAAAATGAAAGCTATTGGAGGTATTCCTAAAGCCTCTAAAAAGGTTTCTTCATACAAGTACAGATAATTTCAACAATGCTGTAGGTAAAAGGGGTTTTGGGGTTTTGGGGTTTTGGGGTTTTGGGG